CCTGTTTTGTGTTTGTTGTTTTTTTTTTTTTTTTTTTTTTTGCCAGGGGGTTCATGTGCTCCCAGAGAGAGATGGCGGGAAAGTGAGAAACCAACCCCCAGGGAGACGGCCACACCGCAATCCCTTCTCTCCATTATCTCTTGGGATTTGGGGCATGCATGCACACATATGTGCCTAGTGTGATTTTTCAGGCCACTGACCAGGACTCAAACTGTGGTCAGCCATGCGGGAGTCCAGCACCCAAACCACCATGCCACCCACTGGCCCCAAAACCTCTTAATTCAAATCACAAGATTCTGCCAGAGACTTTCCACCCAGCTTCCCCTTCCTTCCAGTCCCCCTAGTGACACTGGGCAAGGCAGCACTAGTTCTAGGCTCTTCACACCTATGCAATGAGGGGCGGTGATTCAAAGAATGAAGGAGTAGGTGAATCTATATCTGACGTTACCACAATGCTACATGCTAGAACCGGGGTCCCCAACCCCTGGGCCATGGGCAGGTACTGGTGCTGGCTCTCCCAGCTCTCCTGCACTCACTTTAATGATCTGTCAGGACCAGCAGTTGGCATTACAGCTACGTCACTGGACTCCCATGAAGTCAACTGTGGTTCGAGTCCCAGACCTGGCAGCTTAAAACTCACGCCAGGCAGGTGTACGTGCGTGCCCAAGATCCTAAGAGGATAGTGAAGGGGAAGGGATTGAGGCGTGACCATCCCCCCAAGGGGAGATTTCTCACTTTCTGTCTCTCTGTCTCTCTCTGTCTTTCTGGTGAGCACACGTGCCATATAACAAAAACCTCTCAAAAAAAAAAAAGTAAAAATAAAAATAAAAAACCTCAGTGTCATATTTTGGTAATTCCAGCATTCTTTCAAGGTCTTCATCATTATTCTATGTGCCCTAGTGATCTTCGGTGTCACCACTGTAATTGTTTTGGGGGCACCACAGACTGCACCCATGTAAAATGGGGAACTTAACATACTAACATTGTGTGTGTGCAGACTGCTCCCACCAGTCAGCTGCTCCCATCTCTCTCCCTCTCTTCAGCCTCCCCGTTCCCTGAGAAACAACAATGAATAACCCTCGGCTGGCCTCTAGGTGCTCAAGTACAAGGAAGAGCCCACCACTCTCACTTTAAATCAAAGCCAGACTAGACGAGTACGTGACACACTCATGCTGGGAAAGAGCATTACATATGCTGGAAAGATGTACAGTAATTAAATGTAAAACAAAAGAATTAAATAACTTTTTAAAAGCTAGAAATGATTAGGAAGGCAAGCCGGAAGCTGAGATAGGCCAAAAGCTAGACCAGACAGTTAACCAAGTCGTGACTGCCAAGGAAAAGTGTGTGATGGAAATAAGCAGCCCTGCTCCAGTAAGCACCGGATAAGGCAGTGGAACGGCCTCACTGCAGGACACAGGAAGGCCGAGCGGTCTGAACAGATCAGGCCAGCCACAGCTAATGAAAGCCAAATCCAGACCTGAAGCAAGACCAATGAAGGCCAAGAAAAGTGAGGAGGCTGCAGAAAAAAAAATTAAATCCGGCAGAGGTCCTAGGGGTGTAAAGAGAGAAGCCATCTCTAACACGAAGCACAAGGAGAAGAATCCAGCGCTGGTGCAGAACCATGGCTCATCTCCCGAGGGTCTGGCTAAGATCACGGAGGGAGCTGGTTAGGTGGAACAGCAGATTTCAGTGTAGATGAACGTGCCGCAAAGAACACACCATCTAGGACCCCATAGTGAGAGAGGAGAAGGAGATGCCTGGCCTCAAAGCTTCAGAGGCTGCCTCTCTCGGTAGGCGGGAGGAGCTGGAGCAGCGGGTGGCTGGACGTTGAGGCCAGCGCTCATTATCATGCACAAACCCTGGTTAAGAACTGCGTGCAGTCTGCTCTGTTGTGCTCTATAAATGGAACTACAAAGCCTGGATGACAGAACATCTGTTTATAACATGGTTTACTGAATATTTTCACACCCACGTTGAGATCTACCACTCAGGAAAAATACATCCCTTTCCAAATGCATTGACCATGTACCTGGTCACCCAAGCTCTGATGGACATGTATGGGGAGGTTCACGGCGCTTTCACGCCGCCAGCACAGTATCCACTCTGCGGCCCGTGAATCAGGGAGTCGTGAGGCTTTGAAGCCTTATTTTTGAAGAAGTACATTTTGTTAGGCATTAACTGCCATAGTTATTCCTCATGGATCTGGACAAAGTACATGGAAAACCTTCTTTCTGAAAAGGATTAACCATCCTGGATGTCATTAAGAACGCCCGTGATTCATGGGAGAAGGTAAAAACGCGCTTTAACAGGGGTTTGGAAGACACTGACCCCAGCCCTCATGGATGCTCTTACAGGCTCAAGACCAGCGGAGACAGGAACACGCGTGTGGTAGGATAGAAGGACTAGACTCGGAAGTGGAGCCTGCAGATGAGACGGAACGGCTGCAACTGCATGTGAAAACTTGAACGGATAAGGAGTGGAGTCTTATGATGAGCAAAGACAGTGGCTTCTGAGATGAGGAAGATTCTGTGAATGTCGCCGAAATGACAACAAAGGATGGAGAGCGTTGTAGACGCTTAGTTGATAAAGCAGTGGCAAGGTTTGAGAGGACTGACTCCAATTTGAAAGAAGTTCTAGTGTGGGTAAAATATTATCAAGGAGCATCGCATGCTATAGAGAAACCTTTCGTGAGAGGAAGAGTCAACCGATGTGGCAAACTTTACTGTTGTCTTATTTTAAGAAACTGTCACAGCTACCACGGCTTTCAGCCAGCACTCTGATCTGTCAGCAATCGACACTGAGGAAAGACCCTCTGCCAGGAAAAAGATTATGACTCAAGGTGAACACTTTCAACAATAAGGTGTTTTTTGAGTAAAGTGTGTACACCAGCTACCACGGCT